GATGTACTGTTCGGTGTAGATGTCATTATGATCAGTAATGAACACAAACTGTTGTGTGATACCGTCATTATGTTCAGTTCAGATGATATCCTGTTTGGTGCAAAGGTCATTATGTTCAGTAGTGAACACAAACTGTTGTGTGATACCGTCATTATGTTCAGTTCAGGTGATATACTGTTCGGTGCAGAAGTCATTATGTTCAGTAGTGAACACAAACTGTTGTGTGATACCGTCATTATGTTCAGTTCAGATGATATAATGTTTGGTGCAGAAGTCATTATGTTCAGTAGTGAACACAAACTGTTGTGTGATACCGTCATTATGTTCAGTTCAGATGATATACTGTTTGGTGCAGAGGTCATTATGTTCAGTAGTGAACACAAACTGTTGTGTGATACCGTCATTATGTTCAGTTCAGATGATATAATGTTTGGTGCAGAAGTCATTATGTTCAGTAGTGAACACAAACTGTGGTGTGATACCGTCATTATGTTCAGTTCAGATGATATACTGTTCGGTGCACAAGTCATTTGACAATGCACTGAGTGGTCATACAATTATGTTGGGTTCATTCGGATATGTTCGCGTCAAACAAGATGGCGGGCGGGAGCAACTAATTTCCATAGGTCACGTCGAGGCTAATGACCACTAAATTGCCAAAACAATTTTCTTCCCCGTAAATACCATCGGGAGCTTAAGAGCGTTATTTCAATAAATTGGACAGATCGTATGGCATATTTAATACCCAATGGGTATTTTATCAAGTTAATTTATGACTATACTATACTGTTACAGTCATAATGGGCACAGTATATAAAACTTAAAATATGGGTAAGGGTAGCCTGTTCAAGTCACACATGACCACCGTAAATAAAACTTAAAATATATGTGTTGGTAACTTTTTATACTCACAAGTGGACACATCAAACGAAATTTAAAATATGAAACATAATATACAAGTAAGGCAAACCTATTTGAGTCACACATGGCCACAGTTTATGGAACGTTAAATATAAGTATGGAAACCCCCATTTGAGACACACATGACCACAGTAAATGGAACATTATATATAAGTAAGGGTAGCCTAATAAAGTCAAACATGGCCAAAGTATAAAAAAAATTCTATCTAAGTAAGTGAAACCTAATTGAGTCACACATGGCCACAAGATATTAGACATACTGTTTAACTCAGGGAAATGTATTTGAGTCTAATTTTATTAGGCTACCCTTACTTATCTTACTTATATATAATGTTCCATATACTTTAGTCATGTGTGACTCAAATAGATTTTCCTTACTTAAACATAATGTTCCATATATTTTGGCCTAGTGTGACTCAATAAGGTTTCCCTTACTTATATAGAATGTTCTTCATGATGGGGGTATGTGTGACTTTATTGCGCTACCCTTACTTATATTTAATGTTCCATATACTGTGGCCATGTGTGACTCAAATAGGTTTCCCTTACTTAAATATTATGTTCCATTTATTGTGGTTATGTGTGACTCAAATGGGTTACCAACACATATATTTTAAGTTGCATATGCTGTGGCCATATGTGACTTTAATAGGCTACCCTTACTTATATGCTCCATATACTGTGGCCATGTGTGACTCAAATAGGGTTCCCTTACTTGTATATGATGTTTTATATTTTAAATTTCGTTTGCTGTGTCCATTTGTGACTCTTATAGGTTACCAAACAGATACATTTTAAGTTTTATTTACGGTGGACTTTAACAGGCTACCCTTACCCATATTTTAAGTTTTATATACTGTACCCATTATGACTGTAACAGTAAAGCATAGTCATGAATTAACTAAATAAATTACCCATTGGGTATTTAAAAGTCCAATTTATGAAAATAACGTTCTTAAGCCCCCGATGATATTTACAGGGAAGAAAATTGTTTTGGCAATTTAGTGGTCATTAGCCTCGACGTGACCTATGGAAATTAGTCGCTCCCATCTGTTGCCCGAAAATATCCGAATGAACCCAACATAATTGTGGTATCACACAACAGTTTGTGTTCACTATTGAACATAATGACCTCTACACCGAACAGTATATCATCTGAACTGAACATAATGATAGTACCAAAAAACAACTGAACATAACGACCTTTGCACCGAACAATACATTGACTTGACTGAAGAAGATGATATCAGCACACAAGATAATGATAGTACCATTTAAGATAATGATTGTATCATTTAACAGTTCTATTTCACGACTGAACAGAAGGAATAAAGCACCCAACAGCATGTCATTGCATCTGAAAATAATAAAAGTATCACCCAATAATACACTGCCTAAGCCAAACAAAATGATAGTACCACTCAACTGTTTATTTTCATGGTTGAACATGATGAGAAGAGCACCAAACAGCATATTATTATAACCGAACATAATAACTGCAACACCCTACAACATATCTTTTTAACTCAACATAATTGTGTCACCACATGCTTGTTTGTTTTAAGAACTGAACATAACGACTTATGCACCCGACAATACATTGACTTGACTGAATAAAATACAGTCAGCACACAACATAGCACTTCAATAACTGAGCACATTAGGATTTCCACCCAGCATTTTGTATCTCGGACTCAACAGAAAGACATTTAACCAGGTATATCATTCATTCTTAACATAAGACAGTCCAGGCGTTCCATACATGAATGTATAATCTAAATTGTCCGGCAACTCACCCATATAGAGGTGTTTTATCAAAAGCTAGTTTTATAAAGTTATGGCATAAAAACATCTTGTTCGCTTTCCTATCATGTTTTTTCTCTCTTTATAATTCCGACAAAGAATTGATTATATGTCACATTAAGATAATACAAGTAATATTATGAACTATATTTTCAATAGCCGTGTTATCTCGTACACCCTCGTGGATTTCTGAGGATTTATCGAATTGGTGTCAACTATCTGTCGTATTACATTGTATATATAACTAGTACGTGGTTGTGCTCATATTTTAAGAAATATTACTGGCGACAAACGCTGTTAGGATCACAAGTGTTAGTCATTCACATAGAACTGTTCACCCGCGTGCTTATAAATCTAATCAATACACGGTACCATGGCCTTTCTATGCTCATCAATAATTTATTTCTATTCTGGCGATTTATATTTAGTAGAGTTCATCATAAACTATTTAACCCGACAAGGCACTTTGTTTAGCACGGATGGTTGGATTGATTCCAGCGATTTCTCTGCATAGGTTAAAAGTACAGACGAGCGGGCCATACTCTATAATTATTATCAGGTCAAATTTCAAATTAAATTCAGTCACTTCGATGTTGGTTCACAGAAAGGTGATGATAAAATCAACTGTTTGGGTTTTAGCTAAGAAAGCCCTTTTTAAGTCCGATTTTTTTTTTGGCCATTTTGGGTTAGCTCTAAGGAGTTTAAACCATGTAGCCATCTGAGTCCTTTGTGAGAATATTTTATCTTTAATTAATGATGGATAAAACGTTAATATTTTTCATTTTTGATTAGTTTAAAAAAGTAAGGTGACACTAACATATTCACATAGTACATAAAATTATTCCATTGTGTTTTTCTTACATACGATATTTTGATAATAATATTTATTTTAAATTTTTAATTCTTCAGATTCCTTTTCTTAACAAACATATATTCAGGAAGAGCTGACTGATTCAGTTTGTATATAGAATGATTAATATGTTGCTGTTCAAAGACAGTAATGTCTGAACTTATAAATTGAATTTTTTTTTTTTTTTAAATTTTGATATATTCCAATCATCTCTTATTTAGACATCATATGTAAATCAGCTGATATAGATACCACAGCACAGTGTCACAATCTGAAACTCCTAGCACATTCGAGTATCTGACCTACTGTAACTATAGTAACTATTAATATGCCAGTCACACTGTTTTGTGAAAATTCAATAAGTTAATTAAAAAAGTTCTGGAAGCGGTCGATATGGTGTATTCCCAGAAGGTCAGCTTGAAAAACTAAACATTCAGTTTTAGATGCACGTCTGAACTATTCATATAAATGGTTGATCGTGTCGACAACAAGATGCCTCTATTATCTAGGAAGAAATTATCATTTAACATGTTAAGGTGGGTGTTTACAATTCATATTGATTTCTTTAATTCATTTTGACCTGAAGACACATTGTTTTTCAGTAAAAAAAATATGAGCCGCGTCACGACAAAACCAACATAGTGCGTTTGCGACCAGCATGGATCCAGACCAGCCTGCGCATCCGCGCAGTCTGATCAGGATCCATGCTGTTCGCTATCAGTTTCTCTACTTGTAATAGGGTTTGTAAGCGAACAGCATGGATCCTGATCAGACTGCGCGGATGCGCAGGCTGGTCTGGATCCATGCTGGTCGCAAACGCACTCTGTTGGTTTTGTCGTGACGCGGCTCATATAATCTTCGAATAACTCTATGATAATTATATCTGTAAAAGTAAAAAGGCTCGGAATAAATGGAGACATATTGATTCCTTCACGAGTTTCCTTAACACTCTAATAAAATAAAAAATAGACTTAGTTTTAAACGTATATAGCTAAATGTCGTTTCATGTGAATTTATGTTTGGTCTATCTTAGGACGCATTTATATTATTACAATTTTTATTTTATTTATTTTTATTTTTTTAAATTGTCGCTAAATACGGTCTTATCATAATGATCATATCGGTTTCATGTTCAAGTGTTTAAAATGAAAATCTTAAAGAGACTGGCCTAAAATGGAATTAAAGTTTTCAAATATTCCGTCTTTAATCATTCAATATTCGATCAACATTCTACATTCGGTTCTTGCTAAAGAAACAACATTTCAAATTAAACATGTAGGATGAGACATATATGAATTCGTTTATAACTGAACTTACATTCCCTGAGAATTAGAAAAGAACAACAAAGTACAAAAATGATTAATATTTCAGGTGATAAAAAATTATTGTTTTTTGAAGATGTTACCAAACTTTTCTTTTATTTCAGAAGAAGAAACCATGGTGAACGTAAGGGGGTTTGTCTACAGACTACATCCTAAAGCGGCGTTTGTTAAACTGATTTGGTATGGACTTTTTTTCCTGACATTGTCATTCATTTCGGTTATATTTATGGTGAATAGTAGTCCAACAGTTAGCTACCCGTATAACATGTATAAAGGGTATCCATTAACCGTATACGACAAGCCGTATAACATTAACAAAACAGAATGCAAGAATGATAGAGTTATAATCGTCGTTCATTCAGCAATAACTAACTTTAACAAACGTGACAGTATTAGAAAAACGTGGGGGAACAAAGCATTATTACAGCGATATGGGATGAAACTAGTGTTCATATTAGGAATGCCTTTCAATAGAGATTTACAAGTTCTTATTGACGCAGAATCCACCGAACATGACGACATTGTTCAGGGAAACTTTTTAGATTCTTATACAAATATAACCCACAAGGCTGTTCTGTGGCTGCGATGGGTAACGGAAAATTGTCCAAAGGCAAAAACTGTACTGAAGTTAGATGACGATGTATTCGTCAACGTGTTTTCATTCCATCATTACTTACCTGTGTTTGAAACTCCGACAAATTTTGATCGTCATATTTGGTGTGAAGTAATTGATATAGAGACGCAACGTATTCAGCGGAAAGCAGGACTAAAATGGAGGGTAGCAGAACATGAGTTAACGGGCCTCACGCATTATCCGTTAACTTTTTGCCGTGGATATTTTGTTGTATTAACGGCGGAGAGCGTAAAAACAATGTATCGTAAAGCGAAGGAAACTCCTTTCTTTTGGATTGATGATTTTTACATATTTGGGACACTAGCAAATAAAACAGGAACACGTTTTTCTTCTTTGAAATTTCTTGCCGATGAACAAAAAGCAGTAGAATGTTTTAAGTCAAGAAAATCTCTGTGTGAACTTATGGGAGTGTTACTAGATTCAAACAGTGCTATGGAGTTACTTTGGAAGTACACTGTTCAGCAGCTAAATTCTTTTACATGATCCAGCAATGTTTATTAGTCTGTTACATTTGCTATAAGATAGTGTGCCTTTGAAACTGCTGTTACAAAGTTATTTTTACTTCTTTACCTTAAATCACCAAGTTCATTTGACGTTTCAGAATAACGTTTTTGTAATTTTGCTGCTCAAGTTCTTGTTTAATCATAGTTCTATGTTGTTGTAGTCCGGAAGTGTTTCGTGCGTGGGCATCCTTTTTCAACTCCATGGATGATATTTCACATTCAACCGTTCAGTTAAGTGTATAAGAAGATACAAAGTTGCTCGTGACATCTTGAAGAACACGATTATATGTGTTTGAGGGAAATTTGCGCGCATTTGTGTGGTGACAGAGATAAAAATGTATACTTGATACATGTGCCAATATCATACGTACATACAGGCCCCGGAATGGAGCAGTTAATAATCAAACTCACTAGAACTTAGTGAACAATACTTCTGTCCACATCTTATCACGTGGTACTGAGTAGTTACAAATTGGCAACTGCGTAGGAAAATAATTTTAATTAAGAATGAATCGTCGTCGTTTACTGAACAATGTATTGTTCATTTGAGCTGGAATTTAATCACAATGATCAAACTCTTGAGGAATTTATTAAGTATTTGAACAACCATGCAATGTAAATCAGTAGTGTTCTTAGACATATCATAATTTCTTTTTAAATATCACGTGCCAAATAGGAATTAATATCATTTTGGTTGATAGTGAAATTGTCTTCATGAATTATACGTAATCACATCATAATTGATAGCAATAGGTAATGTTCATTCTGTCTAAATGTGATATATAATGTTATCAAGTTAACAACAGTGCTTACTGTGTATAACTTGAAAGCCATTACTTCTTGCCCCTATCACAACCGTCTGCAACACGCATGTAACATGTATAAAACCGTAAAAATACTTTAAATGTTAAATTGTCATGATTCCATCAATGAAAAACCGACAGTTGCACAAAAGTCAGTGATAGATATTGGTGCTGTGAGATTGCATAGTCAATATGGTTCAATTTTAATCACGCGTCAACTTTAACTATGCTTCCAGCATTTAGACCTGGTGTCGAGGTTATAAAACTTCTTTCTGAGTTCTGTCTCAAATCTCAGGATTTCCATTGGTCAGTGTACATTATATGACATTTTCAGACCAATCAAATATCAAAGATTTGAGTCAGTGTTAGCTTGGAGAATGTCTTTATACCCTGGTGCATGGTGTTAACACAGATTCTTTAAAGATGTGTTTTTGTGATGGCAAGCTGTCTGTTGTTGTAACAATATCTCCCTCTGAACCACTTGCAGGATTTTGACCAAACTTTACAAAAATGAACTTAAAATGGCCTTCTACAAAATTAATGTACAATGTAGATCGTTCTGGTCTGATGTACACCAAGATCATAAGAGCAAAGCTAGACATTACGTTTTCTTTAATCGTCTGTGCAGAAACTTTAATGCCAAGAACATAGGCATTGGGTATATGTTAAATTGTTTCCGCTTAGCAATATAGACTTGTATAGGAGTCTTTTTGTGTTGAACTACAATGCGTTTGTTTTACACATGATATGGTTTAGTGAATAGCTACAAAAGTTATATTAATCATGCCCCTTGGTTTAAAAATAGCCCCGCCCTGGTGCTCAGTTAGGTTACATATACTTTTTATAAACATGACTTAGAGCATTATAATACCCCCACAAAACGAAGGTTAATCTGGTATATAGGAGTCAGCTCTTCGGCTGGTCGGTCCGTCGGTCTCCTTCATGGTGTCCGGACGAAAGCTAGACTTTGGAATGAGTTATTGTATTCAAACTTGGTATAAAGCCACCGTATGTGCCATGTGGTAACCCTGGTTGGTTTTGCTTTGAATAACCTGGTTCCAGGTCACAGTTACTAAAATAGAAGAATGGTTTCCGGACAATATCTATAGTTATGAATGAGATATGATAGTCAAACTATAGCAAACTTATATGAAGACCCCGATTGAGTTTGTATTTGGACCCACTAAAGCCAAGATCACTATTTCTAAAAATAGAAAATGGTTTTCGGACAATATCAAGAACGAGATATTGTAATCAAACTATATATGGAAGTTTATATGAAGACTCCGGTTTGGTTTGCTTTTGGACCTCCTGGGGTCAAGGTCACTGTTACCAAAAAGGAAAATGGTTTCCGGACTAACATTAGTTAAGAATGAGTTATTGCAATCAAACTTGATATTTAGCAACCATATGTGATTGCATTTGGGCCCCCTGGGGTCAAGGGTCACTGTTGTTAAAAAAATAGAAAAATGTTTTTGGACAATAACTAGAGTTAGGAATGAGATATTATAATCAAAGTAAGTGTAAACCAAGGCAAGCTTATATGAACACCCTGGTTGGGATTGCAATTAATTGAAATGATTCTTTATACACAGTTGAAACTTCATAAATTATAGGTTGAGTTCAAAAGGTTTCTTGTGAGGGTATTAATCACTATAGTGATAGCTCTAGTTTGGCATTTATTATCACCTTGTGGTCCTTCCTCTAAAAATTGTGTTACTCATTCCCTGATGCAAAAAAATGGACCCAGCGCCAGAGTTATTAATATTGATATTTTATTGTTATTTATGTAGAGTTAATTGTATTAAAATATTCTCTGTGTGTTTCCTACAAATCCCAGAGCTTAAATATTCATCAAGTGAACTTCTAAAGTATTGTAATTCATTCCCCTAAGTTGACACTTCGAAAACTTAGTTAACATAGATTATTGTAATCACCCATGTGTTTCTTGACTTTCTCGAGAAAAAACAACGCTCAGAGCATAGATATCGAGCATAAAGCTTTACCTCTTTATCCTCTACAAAATTAACCCCGCCTTATAAGTCACTTAGACCTATACATGAATATAAAACACATTTAAGTCTTTATTAAAACTTCAATTCCCGGAGCAAAGATATTAAGCTTTTTCTTGTAAACTACGACGAAAGTTATAATAGTAATGTACCTTGGCTCACAAAATGGCCTCGTCCAGGGTGCCACTTAGCTTACATAGACTCATCTTGTTAATATTATGCCCAGAACAAAGATATTTGGCATATTGCATCACCTTGCTGTGCTTTTAGGCCGATTTTCAGCCCCATAACCCTCTTCAAAGAGTACATGTATATGTTATATATTTTCTAAAAAAATACACCTTCCCTAACAGTAATTAAAATAACATCCATTTTTCACAAGAATGAGAGTGGACAGATAGGGACAACTTCTTGTGGGAACTACAATGCACAGAGCTGGATCACTTATTGAATACAACTTGTTTGATGGAAATCCTTTTCCAATATGACAATGTCTAGATCTTCAGTATTAAATCATGTGTCATCAGCATTTGGCCCTCTTCACTTTTCTTTTACTAATCATGCTATTAGAGTCAAATTGACCATGTTCCACATTAAAGTCAAAAATGATACGCCCTAATATGACCGACCTACCTTATTATTACTAGTCTTTTCTAGCAATTAATCTTAGGCGAGCAATCTAGAGTCATAATGTACCTCTTGTTCCCTTTTTGAGCTTTCTTAAGACGCTTTTAATAATGGCACTATAAAAGCAAGCAACTTTGATTAAAGTTAGAAGCTAATTTAAGTTATACGTTTTTTGTACTTTATTTTTGTAAATAAAGAATATGCATTAACTTAATTGCCACCCTTTGTATTTTTCACTATGTGAAAAAAGGGACTCGCTTTTTATCTTCAGTTACTGTAGGCATGCTCGTTTATTGATCATTTTATATGAAATTATTATTGAAATGTTAAATATTATTGCAATCAATGCATTAGAACATTCCTTTCTTAGCATTTAAGATTATAACTGGTGTATATACATGTATATGTACCATTAATAATGTCTTGTTCATTTTGTTTTATCACGTTTATGATATTTATTAATAACTTACAAATAAAAAAATTAAATTTCAAAATGTTTTGTATAATTTTAAATGTAATGTTGTTTTATGCCCCTGGTTGAAATGATCGGACGGTCATATTGTTTTATATCTATCTATCTGTCTGTTTGTCTGTGACGGTGCCATAAAACTTTACCTTGAGAAAGCACGGGAGTCCTTTCAGCCTTCAAACTTGACAGGATAAGATCTATCTGCGCTACCGATAAGAGGTTGTGAAATCAAGGGCATCATGACCAGAAAAACAGCGAGTATCAGTCTGAGTGATAAGATAAACGTGCTTCCACTCTTACATGTCAGTCTGAGTGATAAGATAAACGTGCTTCCACTCTTACATGTGTAGCTCCGTAAGAGGTCACGGGGTTAAATGTCAAGGTCGTCGTGACCCTAACTGGCAAATCCTTATTTTTGCTATTAAATAAGCATGCATCCGTCCAAATGTATATGTATCTTGATGCATGCTATCTTCCAGACCCATTTAAAAGGTCAAAGGTCAAGGTCACCGTGACCTAAAATAGCAAATATTAGCGTTGGCTTTGAAATGAATGGTTTCATCCAAAGCTTTTCAACTTGACATGTGTACGTAACTTGATGAGCTATTACCTTCAGGCCCACTTAGAGATCACGTGTCAAAAGGCAAGGTCAACTTGACTATTAAATGATAGCCTTTTGATCCAAAAGCTTACTTCACAATGTTACTGGTTGTCTCCTTAAACAAGAAAAATTGATCTTGCATTTTGATTAAGAATCATTTACTTGATTTACAGAAAAAAGACAAAAAAGGGAGTACATGACTACAGAGACTACACTCGATTTTTCTATTTCTGGTCACTTTCGGAGTTTAGAATGATTAATTTTATGCGTGAAAATTATAACATAATAATTTTGTCGAATGTCTATCAAACGTAAAATTAAAAATATCATCTGTTGTTTAGAAAATATCATACAGATGATATATTTAAACTATTACCCTCAAGCTAAATAGTCCTTCTGTAGAATAAGTTGCGTGCTATAAAAACTACGTCATTCTCGAATGAATTTACGTAAGCGTTGCCGTTGGCAAGGTTTTACGCTTAAATTCCCATCTCAATAACTACATACGTTAATCGCTTAAAACTTCAAATCTGTAAGTTCATAACATTATAACCACTATCTATTTTAAGACACGGTTTTTACAAAATTTCAAACTTAGAAAATACTTTGTTCAGTTTTTCCATGCAAATTCACAAACTAGCTATTCATTTGAAACGTCACATACCGGTATGTTTTCTGGGTCTGATAGACCTTTGTTGTCCACTACATTATTTTCCAATGCGAAATTAGAGAAGATCTGCATTATTCGAAAAGCCGGACTGGCAGATATACATGTAAATTATTAGAATTATTCTCTACTGACCTGAAAGTCTAAGATAATTTGGTAAGCATATTGTATTATCGAGTGAGTTTCATAAATCATAACACTCTGATGAAAATAACCCTTTCCTTTGGAACTATTTTATAAATATTACCGGCTCGTGAAAATATGTGGCATTTTATCATGTTGAGTGAAAATATATTCCATATTTCACGCAAACGAAAAAATATCCTTTTTATTTAATTTCATTATCAAAGAAAATGGTAACGAATCCCCTTGCTTGCTACCAACTGCAATTGTACAGCGCGCAGTAATTTATGCGTAAGCACGCGCTGTTTGGCGCTACATTGTGACGTCATGTAAACAAGTCTTTAAACGTCTGTACAGCGTTAATTACTGAATTAAAGATATTGGTGTTTTGATTAATTTTCTTAGTTAGACCATTTTCTATCATGCTAGATAGTTTTCAAAACAAAATTCAAGAAAACGTTGTTTTGTATTTATCAGATTTTTCAAACAAAACGCCGAAAGAAGTCCCTTAAAATAAATATGAGTTTTGACTCCGCCCACTTTCATATTTATATTTCATATTTATTTTTAAAAAATATCAAATATATTTGACTGATATAGCACCATATTTCATGGGTAAAATTAAATAATTTTATATATTTACAAAGGTGAGCTATATCCGTCCAATCGGATTCCTTGCAATTGAAATTGAAAAATAGCGGCATGTATTAGATTTATTTCCTGACAACTTAAGATGATTGCTAGTTTCCTTGTGGATTTTTGCCGGTGTTAGCAGACAAAGAATATGTAAATCTACAGGGAAATAGGATATGAAAAAATGAAATAAACATTTTTCATATTTCTTCAACATTTTAACATTATACTGCATGATTGCAGTGCTTGCCAATGTATCACATTGTTTGATCGTCTTACCTGTATACTGCCAGTTTACAGTTACACCTGTATTATACGCGTACACTTTGATAAGACCGTAAAATATAGATAACTATCATTACATTTGTACTTTTGATATTGAAATTCGCGAGTTTAACAATGGATAGATCAATATTCAAACTAAAAATAACCTTATAGATAATTCTAAGGTAAAGCTATTTGTATTTAAACTCCTACATGTTTATTAGTTTTGTTACATTAAATATATCTACATGTAAAATACCTTCACCCTTATCTACTACACCTGTATCAAAAATAATTATTTTCCATTCCAAAACACATTAGTCTTAGTTAGTACCTACACAAAGATATGTGATTCTTGAGGAAAAAAATGTCAGTGAGAATTAATTAATATTTTGTTTAGTTACACATTTGATTACCCACGCACTCCTGTACTTCAACAACTTAACTGTATTGCTATCACTTAATATCAAAATACTTTTAAAAACTTACTTCGTTGATTTCTATTGATCAGAGGTTCATTACATGCGGTAGAAAAAACACACACTTTCTTTTTAATTTTCAGACTGCAATAAGTGATGACTGATGAGGATGGGTTGTGACTGGAGGTCAGTGCTGAACATCATGATCAAGAAAGGTCTGTTTAGATGGCTAAAACTGTTGATTGGACTCATTGCCATCGTTACAATATCTTTATTGATACACATGAATGTTCAGTATAATTTAACAGGATATATGCCCTATTCTATATCTAGTACATTTGAGAATATTAAAGGAGTATATCGTGGGTCATCACAAGACTGGTCGAACAACGGTACCAGAACACATCACAGGATAGAAAACCGTCTAATTGGATTTAACAAAGGTGTAAGAACTGTTACAAATCGGAATGTTGATCAACGAGTACCAAACGACACGATTAAAGATATACTATGGTTTAACAAACCGCCATGGTATGATATTCGTCAACAAAATAGGTTTCTTAGAACAAATTGTACATATTTAAATTGTCGGATGTCTACAGATGTAACAAATCTACAGAAATACTCCGCTATCATATATGCGCTGACAGAATCCGCCAGTCACGTTCCACCAATATCTCATAAAGATAGAAATCCAGATCAGATGTGGATATTTTTTTACTCAGAGTCGCCTGTTTATCAAGGAAAACTTGCATTCCGCCATACTAACTGGAGAAATACTATGAATTGGTCAATGTCCTACAATATTGATGCTGATATTTTCCGACCATACGGGTATTTGATAGAGAACAAAGAGATTAAACATACAAATTATAGCGCCATATATCATCGTAAATCTACACTAGTCAGTTGGGCTGTTAGTCATTGTGATGCTCAAAGTAAAAGGGACCAGTATGTGTCTGAGTTAGTAAGTAATGGTATTGAAGTTGATATATTTGGTACGTGTGGTAATATGCCATACCATGACCATCAAGACCTCCGAAATCTTCTAAATACAAAATACAAGTTTTACCTCAGCTTTGAAAACAGTTTTTGCGAGGACTACTTTACAGAAAAGTTTATAAATTTTTACAATTTAGACATTATTCTTATTGTACGAGGTGGTCTCAATTATGACAAGTATCTACCCAATGATACATTTATAAACACGGCGCATTTCTCGTCTGCGAAAGAGTTATCAGATTATATTGTAAAAGTGGGCTCATCAGAAGAGCTTTATACGAGTTATCTCAGGAAGAAAAGCAGATACATTGCAAAACATGTATACGAGATGCCACAGACATCGTGTATGTTGTGTGAAAAACTAAATAATCTAAATGAATATAGGAAAACATATATAGATCACGTGACGTATGTACATGACCGTAAATGTTGGACTCCTAATGATATAACAGAGCCAACATTTCATTGGCTTGCAATAGTGCTCGTGCTACTGTTTGTTTTCTGTTTTATCTTGTTTCTTTGGAAGTGTAAGCCATGGTCATTTTTAGCTCGACTTTTTTCTTTTTGAAAAAAACAGTAGAGGTATTGTTATAGTCGGGTCGGCGTTACCGTTGCCGTCCGCAAACTTGTACCTGGATCATAACTTTTTTATTTCTTGCTGTATTGTCTTCATACTTGGCCACAACAACCCTTGGGACAAGACCTTTCAGTACACCACACTAACCTTGACCTTCATCCATAAATGACCTTGACCTTCAAGGTTAAAAGTCCAATTTTTGCTTGTTCATGCTGTTTTTGGCTGTAACTTTGTTATTTTTGAATGGATTGTCTTCAAACTTGAACATAATAATCTTCAAGGATATCCCTTAAAAATAACCAGCCAGACCTTGACCTCCACACTAAAATGACCTTGACTTTGAAGGTCAAATTATTGAAATTTTCATTTTTTTGGCTATTATTGGCTGTAACTTTGTTATTTTTGAATGGATTGTCTTCAAACTTGAACATAATTATCTTCAGGGATATCCCTTAAAAATAACTAGACAGACCTTGACCTTCACTCATAAATGACCTTGACTTTGAAGGTCAAATTATTAAAATATTCATTTTTTTTTGGCTATTATTGGCTGTAACTTTGTTATTTTTGAATGGATTGTCTTGAAACTTAGACATAATAATCTTCAAAGATTACTGTTAAAAATATACCGAAAGACCTTGACCTTCACTCATTAATGACATTGTCTTTGAAGGTCAAATTATTGAATTTTTTATTGTTTTGGCGGTAACTGACTGTAACTTCATCATCATCATCATCATCATCATCATCATCATCATCAACAACAACAACAACAACAGTGTTTCTATTTATAGAATATCGTAATGTTTCTATTTATAGAATTGCGTAATGTTTCTATTTATAGAAATTGTGTAATGTTTCTATTTATGGAAATTGCGTAATGTTTCTATTTATGGAAATTGCGTAATGTTTCTATTTATGGAAATTGCGTAATGTTTCTATTTTTAGAAATTGCGTAATGTTTCTATTTTTAGAAATTGCGTAATGTTTCTATTTTTAGAAATTGCGTCATGTTTCTATTTTTAGAAATTGATGTTTCTATTTTTAGAAATTGCGTAATGTTTCTATTTTTAGAAATTGCGTAATGTTTCTATTTTTAGAAATTGCGTAATGTTTCTATTTTTAGAAATTGCGTAATGTTTCTATTTTTAGAAATTGATGTTTCTATTCTTAGAAATTGCGTAATGTTTCTATTTTTAGAAATTGCGTTATGTTTCTATTTTTAGTAATTGCGTAATGTTTCTATTTTTAGTAATTGTGTAATGTTTCTATTATTAGAAATTGCGTAATGTTTCTATTTTTAGAAATTGCGTAATGTTTCTATTTTTAGAAATTGCGTAATGTTTCTATTTTTAGAAATTGCGTAATGTTGCTATTTTTAGAAATTGCGTAATGTTTCTATTTTTAGAAATTGCGTAATGTTTCTATTTTTTAGAAATTGCGTAATGTTTCTATTTTTTAGAAATTGCGTAATGTTTCTATTTTTAGAAATTGCGTAATGTTTCTATTTTTAGTAATTGCGTAATGTTTCTATTTTTAGTAATTGCGTAATGTTTCTATTTTTAGAAATTGCGTAATGTTTCTATTTTTAGAAATTGCGTAATGTTTCTATTTTTAGAAATTGATGTTTCTATGATTAGAAATTGCGTAATGTTTCTATTATTAGAAATTGCGTAATGTTTCTATTTATGAAAATTGCGTAATGTTTCTATTTTTAAAAATTGCGTAATGTTTCTATTTTTAGAAATTGCGTAATGTTTCTATTTTTAGAAATTGCATGTTTCTATTTATAGAATTGCGTGTTTCTATTCATATATATATACAAAATAGATAAACAAAACTAATGTGACAAGACAGACCAACTAAATTTATAAAAAGGAAACGTTAAGATATGTTCAAACCTTTCAATGTTTGCGTTTAGAAAAAGTAAAAAGTCGAGCGTTGCCCCCGCCCGGCGGTGGCTCTTGATGTAACAAATCCTAGATGATATGTTTTAGCATTTAAGTTGATAAAATGTTGGAACAGCGTAACATGAAAGATCGTGACGAGAACGAATGTTGAAACAGCGTGACAAAAACAGCGTGACAGAAACAGCGTGACTTGAAGAGCGTGACCGAGAATGATTGCTGAAACAAAGCAACGTGACCAAAGACAAACATATCCATAAATGTATTCCATCTAGTTTTCATTAAAATAAGTATAAATCCATGTTGCAGTAATTCATAGAGATGTATGTTTTTATTTTCTGAATGTTCTAACAAAACGGTTAATGTAAAATGGTTGTAAATCAAATTTACATAAGAATCAAATAGCAGCTCAAATGAGATTGTTCGGATCTTTTTATCCGTAAGATTACAAGTATATATTTTGTTCATGTTGCTGTGGTGATAAAGAACACTGTAAGTTTAACTTTCTTGCTGAAATAGTAAATGTGTGTTTTTGTCAAACTTTTTTTACTCATTTTTCTATTTCATAAGCTACATTGTAGGCTATTTTGGTTCGAGAAGTTTTATGTTTTATAAGAAAGTTTACTGCCAAAGTTTAATGTGAGGTTATTTGATTTTTTTTGTTTGAATATGAATTTTAGCGAATACTTAAACACCCTTTATTTTATTTATGTTATTCAGTTAATTGAATGGTTTTTTTATACTGTATGTCAAGTTTTTTTTTACTTTGATGTTTTTATGTTGAAATATGATATGAATATTGAACAATTGTGAACAATAATTAAATTTTAACCAGCTTTGTTAAAGTAAATTTGTTACGATTCTTTTGAAATACTTCAATCCTATTGGAAATAAATAATTTCAAACACTTATGAACAATTACCTATACTTAAGGAAATTATAAACATGCAAAATAATGTTAACAGTCCAAATGAATTTCTTTATGAGTAAAGAAGATTTATAAAACACAAATGAAATAGTTTTGTAATAATAAAGTGGGTCTCGAACGCCTTATTCTCTGTGACGTCATTTGTTTTGACGTTTAGAATAAATGGACAATTTCATTTAGGAAATTAAGAGGCCAATACTTCGTTTTAAAAGATTAAGTAAAAGGTTTTTTTTTCGTTTTTTTTTAGAGAGATTTTATTTATACATGTCCATTTTTACCCTCCTCACAAATATATTTCACAGTGGTACACACTTTATTATATTGATACACACTTTATTACAAGAATAATATATAACGTATGTGTTAAATTATAAACCTGGCATAAGTCACAGAACTGTTTTATTGAATGTCAAGAAAAATATAGTATAGATCTCTATTTTTTTTGTAATTTGATATGCTGGTATAAGCATGTACTCTTCCGATCACACCGACGTCATTCCTAGTTACTGTTACTATGTATATCACCACCGTAACGATTTTATCTCTGTTTTTATGACATTTTTGCTTGTTATTTTTGTAGTCACATGTGGTTACGTTTTAAAGTAATTATAAAATAATCATTTTCTAGATATATTGATTGTTCTATGAAAGTTAAGTTTCATTGCCAAATCGAATGATTCTGAAATATATTGCAATTTTCTAACTTATTAGTATGAAATATAAGCGTATTCACTGAAATCAAACAAATAACCTCTATATATTTTGTTTTTAAAATGATCACTATATATTTTAATACCTGTTTGTCCTTAAGAAATAAATACCCAGTTCTTAACCTACTGAACCGTAAGTTATTAGCCTTTGCCTTACTGTCATTGCTTGAAAGGGTGGATTGACGTCATTAAATTAAGACGTCCTATAAAGACAGACACACAAACACCTCTTTGCACCTATATTGTTGACTGACTGATTTTTCTTTTTCTTCACAATATCTCCAAATGGTGATGCTGGACAGTGGCAAATGCATGATGCTTGTCTCAGCAATTTGCTCAGCCGTTGTCCTCAGCCATTGTCCTCAGTCGTTGTTGTTTTGGCTATACAGCGCGTTATTTAATTTGCTATATACGATATGATATAAATTTCATTCACACATTATATGAATTTGCACCACTTTTTAATATGTTTTATAATTTTATTATTTGTAATACCAAAGAAATGTAATGTCAATACAAGTATATCTGATTACTGTTTTAACATGGTTGTTTATTTATTTTTTTGTAAGTTTAAACTTTAAATAGATGTGTTGAAATTGCGTTTTGTCGTTGTTGTTTGTTTTTTATTTTGTGTGTGTGCTCTTTACCTACAGAGAATGCCAGAAACCTAAATATACCAGAACTACTTTATTTGATTTTATACACAATAATCGCATTTGGAGACAAACTAGTATATGTAAAATAATGAGACACCTTAGCACGTAGTCACCAATATCCATATTGGAGAGCACATGCTATATCCTCTTACAAAAGATTACTTTCTTTTAAAGTAAATGTAGTACAAATTAATTTGAGTACGTAGATTCGATTTCAAATGTGGAAGAATGTTACAGGCTACAAAGCATTTGAATGATAAATCTTACAATATGTTACTTCCAAACAAAATGAATTGACTCCTTTATGCACAAGCAACAAAGCACGTTATATTTTATTAGTTTTATATTTTCTTATTGAATTTTATACATACCGGTATGCTCGTATCTTGTTCAGTTATTGATTTAAAGACATTAATCAATAGATAAAGATATGATGAAACTACATGTAAATGTCTATTCTCCAGAATATTTTGGTCAATTCGTCTGCAACTGGATATATAAACAGAAACATATATAGATAATATCGTCTGTTGTTGATAACTTAGTGAGTGATAAGGTTCGCGCACCTATCATCATTTTCTATTTCTATGGTAACTTGCTTCTTTCTTAATTTACTTCTTCATAGAGAATAATGATTTCAAGGATAGATAAGGTCTCGGCGGACAGTATGGCACTGACAGCTTAGAATGACTGTAATATGTGAGGGGTCCATATTTGATTAGTTATAAGCTATGTTCGTTCTGACATTTTCTTATTTTATCTGCTGAATAATGTAACTTGATTGCACCTTGTCAGATCACATGCATCCCAATATGCAGATAGATAATATGGCATAGGAGTGCACCACAATTCTATACAGCTAGATAAGATAACCCCTGTCTTAACAACTTTATCTGGAAGTTTATCTGATAACCCGCCTATAACGATACAACCAGACAGTACATAGGATAGCACCAACCCTCCTCTAAACGCTTAAGTAAAATTTGAAAAAAAACGGTAGTGCACCTTGAGATTACACGCTTTCCATTACAGCTAATTACCTCCCCTACATGCGAGGGGCGTTCAAATATGAATGCAACTAGGCCAGTATCTCGCCTTTAACCACTTTTTGCACGAACTAGATAGTTGTGTAAGCTTTCAATTGATACAATACATGTTTAAATCAGTTCAATCTAGCTTTGACAATAGCTCAATTAACGCTATCTACTCGTGTATACTTCAGCTAAAATGGTTGGGAAAAGGTCTCCTTTTACTGACCACGGACGGTCCTATATCAAGAACCAATGTATTTTTGGTATATAGGCGAAAGACAGGTTTAATAAAATATGTCGAATGAACAGACATGTTTAATAAAATATGTCGAATGAACTTTTTTTCATATGTCACACGGTGGTGTAGTGTGGATTCAGTAAAAAATACACCACATGCACGCCGTCCGAAAACTGCAACTTCACCAAAAATGGCTGAAAAAGTAAAGGATTTGACTGCTACTGATGCAAGATCTACAACTAGGTATATAGCTTATTGTATCTCTGTAGGAGCCGCTCGTACAATTCTCAGACGTGATTTAATAATGAGAAGGTTAAGTGAGAGACGGATACCCCATACAAAAGAGCAAAAACTTGCTCGGGTAAGAATCGTTGAAACAGTTGCCTAAATACGACAATCGATCTGTCGCAAATATCATCACTGGCGATGAGACGTCGGTTCACTTTTATGAGCCCAAACGAAAGATACATAACAAAATATGGGCAACCAAAGGAAGTCAAAGACCTTGCATAGCAGATCGCACCATGAGCGTCAAAAAGGTCATGTGTGTAATTTTCTTTACCAATCAAGGTCCTGCTATTCAAATTCCCGTACCAAATGGTAAATCTGTAAATACCAAGTTTTACAAAGGCAATGTCCTTCATAGATGAATAATTCAAAAACCGTCGACCTGCTACTTGTCTCCGTGGTGTCAGGTTGTTTCATGACAATGCTTCGTCACACAAAGCGACCATTGTACGAGAATATCAGAAACAGGAAAAGGTTCTCGAACTTCCTCACCTTCCTTTTTCGCCAGATCTTGCCCCTTGTGACTTTTTCCTATTTCCGAGGCTCAAAAAACACCTTGCTGTCGCGAAAAAATCTCGGTTCGGCTATTTTTCAGAGTCTGGACAGTAAACCTCGAAAAGACTGTGAAAATGCATTAAAAATTGGATTAAAAGACTAAAACTTTGTACATCACATAATTGATGAGTATTTTGAAGGATTGAGATAACTATTTGGGCACTGTTTGTTTAGTAGTTCTGAAAATTGACCCGGTTGAATTCATATTTGAACACCCCTCGTAAAGGTGCTGACAGGAGACTGATATAAAACAACATATTTCTACTTGGTATTCCTAGTTGATGTTTCCTTGTTATAATAACATGTGAATTATTTAGGTGTTGTTAGGCTGACTTAAACGGTTGTATAGTTGCCATCGGTATTTTACGAAGCTCTTTTTAAATTATAATTTGAATTAAGCGTCAAGTCAAAAGAGGATATTGCGGTAGAATTTATACATTTAATTTGTTTCTGTAACTAGTAGCACTTTAAAGTGTTGGGCATGATGCTACAAGACAATGCAGACTGATCAGCACAGTGTCAATATCTTTATATTGGACGGTAACCGGGTACTGTGATCGTCTGTGAAAGGCATCATGTTACAATGAAGAAGACATGCTGCTTCCTGCTTTGAGAGAACAAAGGCGTCTACACACTTGAAGACACCGTAGTTAAGTACTATCACACAATTTATATGTATAAAACTAATATGGCATTATAATTAGAACTGTATAAAGTCAGAAATCAATATACGTATCTATCTATTATGGTGTTGTATTGGATAGTGAACGCATAATAAGTTACCTCGTACTGTGGCTCTAGTGATATACCAATACAAGATTATTATGTTATAAAACTAGTATCTCTAATTAAATCAGAATAACATTTCCTTGTTCATCGCTTTAACTTACTGACCTCAGACAACATCTAAACGGACAAAGAGTATTTTAAAAGCACAGTTTTTATCAGAAACGAATAAATATTTCATTCTTTAGAAAGGGCACATATGAGTTTTATAACAATAAAATAGTGGTTTTAGAGCATGTGTGTTGCACCTAAAGAAAGTAGAACTTTTAGTTAGAAATTATTTGTCATAAAAGTAGCAAGATGTAAACAAAGTAGTATTTTGATTTCCATTCACTATATCTCTACTAATTGCCAAAAGGCAACATAGGCAAAAGATTTCTATGAGTAATTTTTTTAGAAAGTAAAACAGGGCACAAAAATTAATAGCTTTTGAAAATAAAATAGCATTTTATAATGGGCCTTTAACACACGCTTATAATCACAGACAAATAGTTTATTAAACAGCAGGTTACAATCCATCAATTTATAAAGTAGGCGTACATTTACAACAATTTGAATATAACTTACATATTAAAACAATCTATGGTTGACACGCAAACTACAGTCATTATTGAAACTATATCAACTTAAATGGAAACCAAACAGTAATAATACAAACAAAATAATGACATGTTTCCTGACAATTATTCAACATGCTGAGGTAAAAAGTAGGGTTTGACAGTTAACCTGATTTCTCAGTTCACAAAAATTACAACGTTTTTAAAAGTAACATACATTCTGATTTCAATTTTTGTAAAAGATGAACACACATAAGGATGCATTTATAATACCTATTAAATGTATTTCAGATAGTTGTCGAAATTCTGAATTTCTTTATTCAATATGGAAGACATTTTACATAATTACATTTTTACGATCGTTAAACTGTAATAGTTTTTATGTAATAAAATAATGATATTCGGATTCAACAGAATTCAGAATTGACGTGGTACTAGTTTCTGAATCACACTCTGATGTTAGACATATTGAACTTTCCGCGACTTAAATGGAACTTTTCGTGTGATTGTTTCTTTTCTTGCATGTTTAATTACTTGTCGCGTGCTGTAACAGAGCTTATCTATACATAAAACGGAAGCAAGTGTCTAATTATAATTCTTCTACTTCTTTTTAAGTGTTCGTCTTCAAAAGCGGTTGATGATTTTTTTCTTGATATTAAATGTCCTAGTTTGACTTTTGACAGTCAGTTAAAACATTTCTTTTATACAAGTTTGTTTAAATAAATGTTTTGAAACGCCCTATATGAATTAAAACTTAACTTTTGTAGTATTTTTAAAAAATCATTTTAATTTTTGAGAAATTTCTGTTTTTTCCCAGAAATTATGTAAGTGAACTTTCTATCTAAAACTTGGTGTTTGTTTTTATCTTTAAATTACTTTACTGCATTCAGTACGAAATTTCACTTACAAGGGAAAAAATATGATTATATAGCCATTCAAAACGTGTTAAAATTTAAATTAACTTTCAAATTTGGGCCCTTTATTTTCGATTTCTGGGGTGGTTATCGACTGTTCGGGTTTAAAGATAAAAAATAAAATAAAACCAAAGTTTTTTACTATGTTCTTTATTAAAAATATAATGTTCAATCTCATTTTAAAGGTAATGTACAAAAACACGTCATAGAAACATTACAAACATTAGCAAGGTATATAGTATGTGATATGCTTTGTTGAATCGTTGGTCGTTGTAGCCCACAGTAAAAACTCGAATCCACGATCTCGAGACTGAAAGGCAGACAACTCAATCACTTTGCCATCTTTATTCTGGTTCATTCTGAAACTGGCTGTATGTCGATTCATCACGACAAAGAATTAACCTGATAAACTGTGTGTGCCCAAAGCATTTCCATAGCACTCTCAGAATCCAATAACACACCTAGCAAATCACAGAGACGTTTTGTTGAGGAAAAACATCTAAATGCTTCTTTTTCTTCTGCAAGATAGTTCACCAGTGATAAAATCTGACTTCCCGTTTTATTTGCTAAAGTTCCAAATATGTAAAAGTCATCAATCCAAAAGAATGGTGTATGTTTCGCTGCCTCGTACATCGGTGGCACAGATTGTATGGTTAAGATAACAAAATATCCCCGACACATTGTAGCAGGGAAATATTTCAGACCTTTGAGCTCGTGGTCTGCCACTCTCCATTTAAGACCTTTCCTTCGTTGTATAGGTTGTTCTCCAGCTAGTTTTAATTCACACCATATCTGCCGTTTTGAAGTATCGAAAGTATGTAAATAATAACGAAACAAAAATACATTAACAAAAACGTCATCGTCTAGTTTAAGTACAGTTTTCGAGCTTGCACAATTTTCACTAACCCACCTTAACCATAGAACAGCTTTGTGAGTAATATTTGTGTAAGAATCAAGAAAATTTCCTTGTACAATGTCATTGTGTTCAACAGACTCTTCGTTAATAAGAACTTGCAAGTCGCTATTGTAAGGCATCCCTAGAAAAAACACAAGTTTCATTCCATATTTTGTTAGCAATGCTTTGTTCCCCCATGTTTTTCTTATAACTTGACGTTTACGGAAATTTGTAACCGCTGAATGTACTATTATTACCACTGTATAATTCCTACAATCAGACGTGTTGATTGTGTAAGGGTTGTCTTCAATTGTCAAAGGATATCCGAGGTATGTGTTATAAGGATAGTTGATTGTTTCAGGTGTAACGGTGACATATACAAAATATAAAAATGAAAATGTTAAGAAGAAAAATCCAAATCGCGCCGGGTGCACAAATAAAGGTTTTATAAGTAACTTTAAGCTTAGACCCCTCTTGTTGAGCATTTCTCCGCAGATAATGATATCTGTAGCAAAAACAACGCGATTTTGTTTTCAAAAGCACTTCTAACATCAAATCACGGGCTGCTGTTTGTTGATAATGCTGACCCGAAAAATTTAAAAAAGTTTCACAAAATTTTATATTTTAAAAGAGAAGAAAAAAAGGGGGGTTTTATATCCCACAATCAAAAACCAAACATCTCAAAATGGGGGTTCAAAAGTTTTTGTTTGAACATATTATGCAAACCAGATTTTTTATATCCGATCTGTGCCCGTAAAAATGAAATTTTAAAATTTCGTTTATGATATAAAAGTTAACGGCTTTTAAGTTTGGGGAAAACCTTTTAATCAAATTTTAAGGATCCCCTCGTTTTATATATAAATTTGTTCATGAAAATTCAGTCAAGGCAATTTTTTAAAAAAAGCGGGGCGTGTTATCACTAAAAAGCTTTGTGAAAATTTAAGTCAGATTTAAAAAAAGAATTATAATTATAGGAATTTTAAATATAGCGTACCGACAGGGATCAACACAAAGCATTAGGGTTGTACATTGCTTGACTTAACATCAAAGGAATGGTATATTATGCTACCTTTACTCATCAGGCTAACACAGTAAAGTTATATATAACATTTTTACACAATTAAGATGGAGGATTTTTTTTAATTCTCAAAAACATCTGTGTAATAGACAGTATTGTATTATTTATGTATTTAACTGTCCAGCATTCGAAATAGTCAAGGAGAGAAACCTTGCATATTGTCAAATTCAAAAACAATGAACAATAAAATGAATATCATACAATTTATAATTACAGAATTAAGTATTTTAATGAAATTAGCAAAAAAGCAGATAGTTGAAAATTAGAGTTTTGAGTCTGCCCATAACTTGTAATGCAGAAATCATGTTAACAAACATTGTTAATGTTTGGCAGTATTGACATGAGGCATATTCATTTTAGAGAGGTTTTTCTTTTGTTCCCATATTAATTTGTTATGATTTACGTTTAGTATTTTAATCATGTTTGAATTTGCTGTTTTCGTTATCTGATTTTTTTTATTTCTGTTAAATATATGAAGCAAGTTGATAACTTGTGTTTCATTTCTAGCATTTTTTACCGATTTACATATTTTCTTTCATTTCATTAATTTCAATAATTAAAGTCGTACAAGGGGTGACTCACATGACTCGCATGCAAAAAAAACATAGGGGTCACGTTTTGCAATATATGATTTAAAAAAAAATGATCCAAAACAACAATCTTCAACTTGAAACTACACGTAACTGAAAGTCATACACCTTGTCACCAAGTGTTACTCAGTGGTAACTGGTTATTTTCAATTTATACATATAAAACCGTTGTACCATACATTAAAATCCGTACCGATATTAAAAGTGTCTCGGGTCAGTATTTCCAAACAGCAAGTTTTCGTCACCTTAGTGCAGTAACAAGTTAACTCAAACTTCTTTTAAGTTAACTCGTTATTGCGCTAAGGTTACGGTTATATAAACCACTTAGCTGTTGTTTCTTTTGACCTAGAGTCAAAAGTAAACTTTGTGGCGCCGTTATATGTCGCAACGCCGCTAAATGTCGCACTTGCCGCTAAATGTCGCACCATTGACGCTAAATGTCGCAACCGCCACTAAATGTCGCAAAACCATTTGACGTTAAATGTCGCAATGTTAACGTTAAATGTCGCACGAATTTCCCTTATCGTTAAATGTCGCAACACTACCGTTAAATGTCGCAAGATGTAATTTTATGTTGAACTTAAGTTTTATTGTTGTATCATATTAATTAAATCTGCCTACTCAATTTGAAAGCGAGTGAATTTATTAAATATGGAACTGCGCTACAATTTAGACGGCGATAATACTCATCTTGTAAATAAATGTATATTGTTTAGCGTTCGATTTTTTAGCTGATCTTATGCAAGTACATATTGATGATTATACAATTGTCTACTATTTGTATGAAACTGCAAAATTGGCATTGTTCTGTAAATAGTTTTAGGTACAATTGTGTCTGTAAAATGGGCAGAAGAAGACATGCTGCCTGAGGTGGCAGTCTGATGGCCTAGTTGACTGAGGAGGCACATTGTCTCGCTGTCGGAAGAGGAAGCCTAAATTGCTGACGACCTGGACCTCAAGTTTGCCAACGCCCTGTAAGCCTAACGTTGGTAGCCTAGTATCCTGAGGAGGCTACCTAACATCCTAACAGCCTATCGATGTCAGCTTTGCAACCTGACGTTGGCAATCTAACAGCTTAGAGTCGGCAGACTAGTAGCTTAGAGTTAGTGACTTATATTATAAATATGGAAACAATTTAAAATACAGTAAAATCACTATGAAAGGTCATGCAAAAGCACATACACATGCATGATTATGAAAAAAACGCCTTTACCTTTAGGGCACTTAACTTTGTAGTCTAATAGCCTAAAGCTAGAAATCTAGGAGCCTGGCAGCCTAAAATTGGTGCCTGTTATAAAAAATGGAACGATCAAAATAATAAAACGGCAAGTTGGATTTTTCTTAAAATCTACTAGTACAAAGGGCTTCATAATTTACACATTTATTAATCAATACAATAAACTTGATCATGGCAAGTAACATAATTATTGCATAAATTTTAATCAAGTTATGCCATTTTCAGCAGTTTGAGAATGAATATCGTTAACCTAAACCGGCATGTTGGATTTATTTAAGTACATGTACTGTCCATACTTATGGCTTCATAATTTCCACACTTACTTATTTAGACAAAGCTCATGATATTGCCATCCATTTTCCCAAGTTATATTCCCTTTTTTCACTTTGAAAATAGGACCTTGTATGGTTAACCTATTCCGGTAAGTTGGATTTATCTTAAAAATTTATTTAATGATATCTTCCATCTCTGGTAGGTGGATACCATTATGGGCCGTGTATTTTTTATGGAGTAAGGGGTCTCTAGTGTCAAGGTCACTGGTGTGAATTTCTTATAACATTTTTTCTCATTAAGCCTTTATTGTTAAGATTATGTATTTCATGTTTAATACAAACATGCCAAGGGAGGTCTTCTTCCTTTAGGTTTAGTTGGGGTCCTGTGGGTAAAGGCCAAAGTCACCAATGCCAAAAATAGATTTCAACATTTTTACAGGTGTTTTAACATTATTCTTTTGAAAGATGTCTTTTATATTTGGTAGGAACATGGAATTGAGGTCTTCTCCTTACGATGGAATTATGGTTCAGTTGGGTCAAGGTCACCAGTTCTAAAATAGATTTCTACACTTTTACAGCCTTTACTTATTGACAAATGTATTTCATATTTGGAAGGTAGATAACTTGCATGGCATTCTTCCTTTATATTGAGGAAGGGATCAATGGGCCATGGTCACAAATGCTAAAATAGATTTTAATTTGCAGGATGAAGTTCACACAAACAGTTTATGCTTTTATCAAATTTGCTAGTCGTATGCGTGTTTTTATTTCCATTTTAACGCCAGAAATGTGGTGGTCATTCATATTATTGTTGCAACAAATAAAAAAGATGTTTTCTTTACACATCTGTTCCATTTTTTTTTTTTTTTTTTTTTTGAAAAATAAAGTTCTTTAAATATCTCAAAATAAATACACTATTGTGCGTATGCTTGTATTTATGGTCATTTGATCTTCACTATGTCGTACTCGACATGCCCATTTTAGGACGAACATAAAAATGGTTACAGATATCTAACCAATATTGTCGTTACATATGTACGAGTATAATCCATGCCTTGTGCTTTTCGAAAAATGTCAGATTTAATTTCATTGAAATATTTATGAAGCGTTACAGATTAAGATTTTCATTACAGCAAAGCAATGATAAAAAGCCTAAATTCTCTGGCCAAAACGGCTAGCTGTCTTTAGCCAAACAGCAATGCCAATAAGAGCTTAATCAATTATTTGTATTCTTATTATATGATAGTTACTAAGAATGTTTCATAGTATAAAGCGACATGGCGAGTAAAATATCACTTGCCACAATGTCAAAGCGTAAATAGTGTTTTACAAATCGTAAAATGTACTAAATCTTGTGTACTTATTTTAACTTTGACATCTGCTTACTGTGTGTGAATTTGCGTTTATTTATACTCGCCACCGGTTGTCCATTTGGGCGAGTCCTCCAGAAGAGTACAAGTCATTTTAGATTTTGGAGGATAGTGCAATTACAGATACAGAAAGATGCCCCGATTCCAGAAGCTTCCCCTTCTTTAACGTGCCAAGTTGTTTTAGAACCCATACACGGGACCTCGATTTAAAGTATCATCCGAAGGACTGATCAGTAATTTTAGTTGGCCAGCCCGGGAATAGAACCAACAAGGTCGAGGTTACAAGTCTCGCGCTCTATGCGGGCTGGCTCCTTAAAAAAATTCCGGTACATATAATCGTAAAATTCGCTCATATCTAGCAACCGACTGCGGATCGAATACTACATGATCATGGAGTACTACATGATTTTTTTTTCGATTTTTCGTATTGACCGTGCATTCATACTTTGTTTTTCACGTATTTGCCTTTTCAATTAGAATAAAAAATTTGCCTTGATATTCAATCAATATTTCACGTTTGAAGTGAATATTTTTGATGTATTTTTTGAAAATATAAAAAGGGAGATATTTTAGAAAAAAATACCTTTCAGGGTTATCTGTCCTTTAGAAATGCATTAGCTATTTCATATGAAATAAGTATTTTAAGTTTAAAGTGAATATGTTTGAAATTAGCCGTATCCAAAAGGTTAATCAGAGCGAAAACATCTTGGAGAAATAAGGGGAATAACTTTGCAAAATATAACTTGGATTATCTGCCTTTTGATATTGCTTCATATGATCATAGTGAACAAATAAACCACATTTAAAGTAAATTCGGTAGTTTCTGAGAAAATAAATGAAATGACTTAAACCAAATTCTGAGAGCGACAATACCATAATACCTTTAATCTGTTGTCAATCAGGGTTACAAACGAAAATGTTAAACAAGAGAAAAATACTTATCTATTGAGAATTTAGTATCAATTATCCTTTCTAGCCTAAAGATTACATTATATAGTAGCTCAAAACCTCGATAATTATGTTCATTAAAGAAAC